TGACAGAAATTCCCTGGAGGTCCAGAGGTTAGAACTCTGTACTTCCACTACAGGGGACACAGGTTCAATACCTGGCTGGGGAACTAAGGTCCCAGAGCCACATGGTGCAGCCAAAAAAAAAAAAAGTGTGAGTGAGCATCGTCTTCTTCCTGATCTGAGAAGAAATGGTGAAGTGCTTTTCACCATTGAGTATGATGTTAGCTGTGAACTTTTCATAAGTGGTCTTTATTATGTTGAGGTGTGTTTTCTCTATACCCAATTTGTTGAGAACTTTTATTGTAAATGAATATGGAATTTTGTGAAAAGTTTTTTGTGCATCTGTTGAGATGAACATATAATTTTTTTTGAACATATAATTTTTATTCATCAGTTTGTTAATGTGATGTATCACATTGATTGATTTGCATATATTGAACTAAACCATCCTTGCATTCCTGGGATAAATTCCACTTGATCATGGAGTATAATACTTTTTATGTATTGTTGAATTCAGTTTGCTGATATTTTGCTAAGGATTTTTGCATCTGTGTTCATCAGTGATATTGACCTATAATTTTCATTTTGTGTGGTATCTTTGGTTTTAGTATCAAAGTGATACTTGCTTCGTAGAATGAGTTCAGAAGCATCTTTTCTTGTGCAATATTTGGAATAGTTTGAAAAGGATAGGTATTAACTCTTTTCTAAATGTTTGTTAGAATTCATCTGGGAAGCCATCTGATCTTGGACTTTTTAAAAAAAATAATATTATACTAAACATCAATAGGCTTGGAAACAAAACTGTAAAACAACAGACACCACACACACAATTATTTGCTACTGATACATGGTTGACCAGTGTCCTACCTAATCAATAGGGTTTTTGGTTTTTTGGGTTTTGTTGGCTCTTCGCTGCTGTGTGGGCTTTTCTCCAGTTGTGGAGAGCAAGGACTGCTTTCTAGTTGCAGTGTGCTGGCTTCTCATTGGAGTGGCTTTTCTCGTGAAGCACAGGCTCTATGGCGCTTGGGCTTCAATAATTATGTCATGTAGGCTCAGTAGTTGTGTCTCCCAGGCTCTACAGCTTAGGCTCAATAGTTGAGGCACATGGGCATAGCTGCTCTGTGACATGTGGGATCTTCCTGGATCAAGGACAGAACCCGTGTCTCCTTCATTTGCAGGCAGATTCTTGACCACTGAGCTACCAGGGAGCCTGATCTTGGACTTTTATTTGTTGGGAGTTTTTTAAGTTACTGATTCAGTTTCATTACAGGTAATTGATCTATTCATATTTTCTTTTTTTTTTCCTGGTTCAGTCTTGAGAAATTATACATTTCTAGAAATTTGTCCATTTCTTCAAAGGTTGTCCGTCTTATTGGAGTATAATTGTTGGTGTCAGTCACTTCAGTCGTGGCCAACTGTTTGTGACCCTATGGACTACAGCCTACCAATCTCCTCTGTCCATGGAATTTTCCAGGCAAGAATACTGGAGTGGGTTGCCATTTCCTCCTCCAGGGTATATTCCGACCCAGGGATTGAACTTGCCTCTCTTGTGTCTCCTGCATGGGCAGGTGGGTTCTTTACCACTAGTGCCACCTCAGAAGCATAATTGTTGGTGGTACTCTCTTATGATCCTTGTATTTCTGTAGTGATAGTTGTACCTTCTTTTTCATTTTTATTTTTATTGATTTGGGCCCACTTTCTTTTTTTCTTGATGAGTCTGGCTAAAGATTTATCAATTTTGTTGTATCTTCTCAAAGAACTAGCTCTTAGTTTCATTGATTTTTTTTCCCCCCGATATTCTTAGCTAGCTTTCCCATAACATGTTTTTGTGGGGTTTTTTTTTTTTCCTTTAATAAACTCTAAAGAGGCAATGGAAAGAAAGTCTTAGGATCATTAACAAAATCTTTGGCATTTGCTTTTGTGTTGATGGTGGTAGAGGGAAGCAAAAAGAGAAATGAGCTTTCAGGAAGATAATTTTTTGGTTAAAAAAAATTAAAATCTGTTGATGGTTCCTAAAGATTACTGGGAAACAAGCATTTCTTCACTATTGTACTCTTTAATCTCTCAGTTTAATGAACATCCAGGGTTTTTAGTTGGCTAAGATTCAGGAAATGAATATACTACTGAGTATGCTTGGGAATAGTCAGTTAAAATATTTACATATTTGTTCTCTCACTTCTAAAATCTATATAAAGATTGTCATTTCCTGTTTCAAATGCTTGAAACAAGATGTGGTAGGTGGTTGTTATTATTTGGAAATTTCAAGACTAAAACCTGGAATCATCTATTTGCAGAAATCTAGGATTATAGAATGTATTTCCCAAATACATATACTTGTTAGTGCTTTGCTTTCTTATTTTGACAATTTTATAGTAAGATCACTACATTGACCAAAAGAGGATAAGCTGTTTGTTTATGGAATTTTCTAGTGAAATGTATATTTAATATATATATTCATTTTACTTTGGCTCTCTGGGTCTTTGTTGCTGTGCAGGGGCATTCTCTAGTTGTGACACACCGGCTTCTCACGTGGTGGCTTGTCTTACTGCGGAGCACAGGCTCTGGAGTGTGTCGGCTTCAGGAGCTGTGGCTTGCAGGCTCTGGAGCACAGGCTCAATAGTTGTGGCTCACAGGCTTGTTTGCTCCACAGCATATGGGATCTTTCCAGACCAGGGATTAAACCCGTGTCCCTTGCATTGCAGGTAGACTCTTCACCACTGGACCACCAGGGAAGCCCTGTAGTGAATGTATTTCTGTACTGGATTTGTCTGGAATAAAAGAATGTATGGGTCTTATTTTATTCAAAAAGCATTGTTAGGTGTAAATGGGGCTTTCAGATTGGTCTGACAATTATTCAGAATGTAAATATTCACAGTGTATGTAAACTACTAGTTTAAATATCAGACCTTCAAAGTGGTACTGAAACACCTTGATGAAGCATTATCTAAAAGCAGTTAAAATCATCTAAAGCAGCATTCAGCATACTTTTCCTGTAAAGCTGCATGTGTGCTAAGTTGCTTCAGTTGTGTTTAACTTCTGTGAGACGCTATGGACTGTAGCTTGGCAGGCTCCTCTGTCCATGGGATTCTCCAGCAAGAATACTGGAGTGGGTTGCCATGCCCTCCTCCAGGGGATTTTCCTGACTGGGATCGGACCCACATCTCTTATATCTCCTGTATTGGCAGGCCAGTTCTCTACCACTAGTGCTACCTGGAAAGCCCTCCTGTAAAGGACCAAATAGTAAATATTTTAGGCTTTAGGGGCTGCACCTGGTCTCTGCTGCAAAGATTCAACTTTGCTATTGTAGTCAAAGCAGCCAAAGACAATACATAAACAAATGAGAGTGACACTCAATAAAACTTTATTTAGAAAAGCAGGAGACTTTAACTTGCCAATGAGTTTCAATTTAAAAAATAATACTATTTATGGGAACTCTCAGTACTTTCTGCTCAACTTTTCTGTAAACCTAAAACTGTACCAAAAAAAGTATATTACAATTTCTGGGACTTCCCTGGCAGTCCAGTGGTTAAGACTCTGCCCTTCCACTGTAGGGGGCATTGATTCAATCCCTGGTCAGAGAACTAAGATCCCACATGCCACATGGTGCAGCCAAAAGAAAAAGTCTATTACAGTTTTTCTGAATGTCTTAGAAAATAAAAATTATTTAGAATCAAGTAATGATCAAAACCTCCATGACATCTCTTGGTTTTCACTGAATGATAAAGCCACTGGATGACTAACTCATCCATTCTAGCTGTCAGGTATGCTTTCAGAGGGTCTAAAACTGTTCTGTTTTACAAGGATCTTTTTTAGGACTTATTTATTCATTGATTAAAGTGAACAAAGAGGTAGAGATGTCACATACTGTTACTACATTTGGTAGCATAAATACTCAGAGCACCTTCTTCAACACTTGTTGGAGGAATTGCTGATTAAAATGATTTCCTTGGTTGAACAGAAAATAATTCTTAAAATATTAATTCTTGAAGATTTTTGAATTATGCTGCTATTCTATCATTGATATGTTAATTACTTTGAGTTTTCATCCTATAGTATTTATTTTTCTTCTATGAATATACCAAGGAGTATCCTTTTAAATAAGTCAGCTAAAATATTTACAATCATTGGCTGTAATATCTGTGTAACTCAGCTGATAATTCATTTGAAAAATTTAGACTGTGTTGCAGCTGAATTAACTTTTGAGACTTAAATGTGACTGTAACATATATATCTACTTCTAAACTTTTTATTGTGACATGTAGCACAGAAAATACATAAAACAGAGATGTCCAGTTTAACAGGTTAATTATAAAGCAAACAGTGGAACTACCATGCAAGTCAAGATACAAAGCATTGCCAGCACCCCAGAGGCCTCTTGTATGTCTCGTTCTAACTATAATCCCTTCCCTTATTCCTAGGGTTAACTACAGTCCTGATTTTTATAGTATCCATTTTCTTTTTTTAGTACATGTCCAGCTCTAAACAATGTAGTTTATTTTACCTGTTTTTTAAAAATTTTACAGGTGGACTCATATAGTATGAATACTTCAGTTTATGACCAATCCTTTATACTGTATTCATTTTAGCTATTCAACAACAACAACAAAAAATGATCAAGGTAGACTGAAGTGGTGGGATATTGATCTGTGTTCAGAAAAACTGCTTCATGGGTGATCTGTCAAAACATGTTTGGTGCCACTTCCTGCCCTTTAATCACATTTTCTGTCACACAGGACACTGTTGCATGTGCCTAATGACAATCAGGATGGGTGATGAAAGGCATAGCACTTGTTTTTGAAAACAGATTTCTCAGTGATTCTGTGAGATCTTGAATTTTATGGTGATAGGATTGTGTTAAACTAATCTTAATACAACAAAGCTATTGTTGTGTTAAAGATTAAAGTGAGTATGGTATACATATAGTAGATACATATAATATATATACATACTTGTGTTTCTGACTGAAGAAACACTTTAATTACCTAAAACATTTGATTTTATAGAAAAAATACTTTGTTTTTCAGGTGAAACTTCCACCGATGATGGAAATCATAACTGCTGAACAGCTGATGGAATATTTAGGTTAGTGTTGAAAGTGAATGATTTTTATATCTCTTTCAAGATAGTTTTCAAAGCTATTATATTACCAAATTTCACCTTTTTGAAGCTGTTTTTAATCTCTTAACTAAATAATTTTACTAGTGTGTTTCTGTTCTTGGATGTTACAGACTTCTTTCTGACCAGCATTAAAATTCTTTAGTGTAAATAAAGAGGCTAATGACATCTAGAAAACAACAAGGTATATATTAATACCAATAAATTACAGAATGGGAAATGGCATAGAAACTCTAACACTGCATGTAGAGAGTGTTTAAAAATATTGAATAGACTTGAATTAAAACCCAGAAAGTGATTTAGAGCAGTGCTACCCAAAATATGGTTCACAAACCTATGCCAGTCAATAAAATGTTAGACCTGTCTGCAGTGAAATAGAGGCTTGTACTAGAGTATAAAACATTTACTTTAGGAAGCACACTGTTTAGTCCGTCTGAAATATTTTTGTAGCCAGTTTTTCTTGATGAAGGAAGCAGCATATTGAGTTGCATTCTTATGCAAGCTTTCTATTTCAAAACAGGCCATAATACACAGTTTGCAGATCAGCTGCATTCAGAACTTGTTTACAGAGCAGGTAGTTGTTTATCACACTGAGGTCTTTCACAACTTAACAAGTAAGAATTTATATATTTGCACTGTTACCAAATGAAAAATCTTAATCCATATTCTTATTTTTAGTAATTAAATTGCTGTTAAAAAGATCTTATTAGCTGATTAGTTTGTCTATGCTGTTCCAGACAACTAGCTAACTGATTTTTTTGTGAGATGTAAGTTTAGTGAAATAATTGAGATTACAGCTTTTGGAAGACCTTTTTACTTATATAACTAATATAATTTAATCCTATTCATTGGCTAGGAACCTCATCATTAAGTGTAGATTACTTCAATATCTAGATAACTGAAAATAGAATTTCTGTTTTTTACCTCTTTTACTCTAGTTTGGTGATTCTTAAACTTTGTGATTTCTAAATTATATTTCATAGGAAAAGGCTGAAATATGCTTAGTGGTTTTAAGGGACAGCCAGAAGGACTACCAAGGACTGCAGAGGGGAAGTGTCAGGAGATGAGATTAGAGATAATGGAATCCTATCATATAGAATATCCTAGGTTTTTATAGCAACTTTGACTTTTGCTGTGGGTGATCTGAGAAGCCATTAAAGGATTTTGAACAGAGAACTGACATGATCTGACTTTGAGTTTAACAAGAATTCTCTGGCTTCAAACAGGGTAATAGAAATGATATTATAAAATATGGTCAGATTCTGAGTATAGAGCTGACAGAATTTGCTGATTAGTTGAATGTGGAGTGAGAGTAAAGTCAAGAGTTACCCAGTGATTTTTGGCTTGAACAACTGGAAGGATGGCATTAACATCAACTGAAACAGGAACAAATGGAAGGAACATGTTTACGGAAAAATATCAGGATTTTGGTTTGAAAAGTTTATTGACTCTCAAGTGGAGATATCAGGGAGGCGGTGGGATATATAAATCTAGAGCCTAGAGGATAGGTCTAGATCAGCACTGTACAGTGAACCTTTGTGTGTTGATGGAAATGTTCTCTATCTGTGCTGTCCAGTTTCATAGCCACTAACCACATATGGCTCTTGATCTCTTAAAATGTAGTGAATATTCAGCTACATTTTAAATTGTAGGAAAGTTGAATGTTTAATTTTAGTTTAAATTAATATAGCCACATGTCATTACTGGCTGTTGTGTTGGACAGTGCATGTCTAGCCTGTAAATACAAATTTGGGAACAGTAACTATCATATAAAGGATCATTAGACTGAGTCACAAATAATATGAATGTAGACAAAGAAGACATCAGTGGACTGAATCTGGGACATGCCAGTGATTAGAAGCTGGAGAAGAGGAAGAATAGATAGAAACTCAGCTATGTAGAACAAAAACTGGAGACTGATTTCCTAGAATCTAAATGAAGAGTTTCAGTAAAGAATGAGAGACTATCTGAGTCAAATGTTGCTAATAGGCTTAGCAGGATGAAGACTAAAAATTAACCACTGATTGAAGCCATACAGAGGTAATTGGTAACTTCAGTAAATCCACAGGATGAAAACCTGACTGGAGTAGGCACAAGAGAAAATCAGAAGTCCTAAGACATAACCAATAAGAATGAAACATAATGCAGCCACTGTGGAAAACAGTTTGTTACTTGATGGGCATGAGTTTGAGTAAACTCCAGGAGTTTGTGATGGACAGGGAGGCCTGGCGTGCTACAATTCATGGGGTCGCAAAGAGTCGGACACGACTGAGCGACTGAACTGAACTGAACTGAGAAAAGCTAATACAGAATTGCCATATAACCCTGCAGCTTCCCCCAAGAGGAGTAAAGACATATGTCCATACAAAAACTTGTATAGGAATGTTCATAGCAGCATTATTCATATATGCCAAAAAATTGGAAACAATCCAGATAGCCATCAACTGATGAATAAACCAACTGTGGTATATCCATACAATGAAACATTATTCAGCCATAAAAGGAGATGTACTGATGTATTCTATAATATAAATAAGCCTTAAAGATGTTGTGCTAAGTCAAAGAAGCCAAGTCATAAAAGACCACTTATTGTGTGATTCCATTTATATGAAATGTTCAGAATATAGGCAAATTTAGAGACAGAAAGTAGGATTTATGGTTGCTTAGGACTGGGGAATATAGGGAGGGGAAATAGAGACTGACTGCTAAAGGGTATCGAACTTCTTTTGGGGGGGACCAAAGTGTTCCAAAATTAGATCATGATGATAATTTCACAGTCCTGTTAATATAGTTCAAAAACATTGAACTGTGCACATTACATGGGTTAATTGTATGGTATGTGAGTTATGTTTCAATAAAGCTGGTTTTAACAAGAGAAAATTGGAGGAAAGGAATTGAAAAATATACTTTAGACAAATGAAGAATTAGTCTTAGGTAGTACAGATAGTTCATCCTTAGCAATAGAAGGGAAGATAGACTGTTAAAAATAGGTACAGATTGGACTTCCTTAGAAGTTTAGTGGTTAAGAATATACCTGCCAGTGCAGGGGACATGGGTTTGTTCCATGGTCTGGGAGGATACCACATGCCACAGAGCATGTGTGCCACAACTACTGACCTTCCTACACCACAGCTACTGAAGCCTGCATGCTCTAGGGCCTGTGCTCTACAGCAAGAAAAGCCATCACAATGAGAAGCCCACACACTGCGGCTGAAGAGTAGCCCTCTCTTACTGCAACTAAAGAAAGCCCACAGGCAGCAACAAAGACTCAGTGCAGCCAAAAATAAATAAATACAAAAATTTTTTAAAAGATAGATGGGTAGATGTGGGTGTGGTAGCTTGTAGAAGGTCTTTTAAGTACTTTCATTTTCTCAATAAATGGGAAATCAGGTCATCAGCTGAGGGTGAGAAGGAAGGAGGAGTTATTGAAGATGAGAAGGAAGGTATAAAATAGTTGCTTAGACAAGTGGGAGAGTGAATGAGGAGATGCAATATGATTCCTGGGTTTTACCCTGGGGTTAGTGAGACCAGCCAGCATTGGTGGTGTGATTTCTGTAGTCACATTCTGCTGCATGAGTATAGGCTTAAATAGTGGAGAAGCAGGGTTTAACCAGAGCTGGGTTTTTGCCAAGTGTTGAAGAAAGAGTCTAGGGAATTGAAGTTATGTGTAGATATACCTGTGATATAATTATAATAATGAGCCATAATATTTAAGTTGCACAAAGAGGAGATGTGGATATAAATACATTGAAGAAAAATGTGACAGGATTTAGTGGATTGTAGGCCCTAATATAGTCAAAGAATTTTTGGAACCTGGTAGTAACAAAATTGTATGATCATAGGGAATGAGTTTCTGATATAAGGTGGAATATATGATTTTTGTTGGAAAAGAGGTCAAGGAACAGAAAGGCCAAAGTATTAGGTGGGTCATCTCTATGAGCATTAAAATTATCAAAAATTATGGCAGGATTTGTATCATAGAGAGATAGTGAGCTAGGAATGAGGGAGATTGACCTAAAAGTTCTTAGAGAACTATAACCAGGTGGGTGAATAATGGGTAGTAGTATATCATGGCATGGGTTTTAAAACTGAGTTTTAGGGAGGATGGGAGGAAAGAATGATCATAAGGAACAAGAAGATATCTGCCACCAGCAGATTCACTGATAAAGAAGTATAAGTGAGAAAAGAGCTATGACTTGAAAGGGCTGCAGTGTCATCAAGGTAGAGCCAAATTTCATTTAGGCAGAAGGCGAAGGAAACATTAAGAAAAAACATTTAGTAGCTTTGTTGTTGAGAGACCATGAGTTCCAGAGGACGTTGAAATTCATAGTAAGAATTTAGGAGTCATGGATGGGAAGATCCCCTGGAGAAGGAAATGGCAACCCACTCCAGTATTCTTGTGGAAAATTTCATGACGGAGGAGCCTAGTGGGCTACAGTCAATGGGGTCGCAAAGTGTTGGACATGACTGAGCGAATGAGCACGCACAAGTCTAAAGATGCTATTTAAATCTGTGGAAACAGATGAGATCATTAGGAGAGAAAGAATAAAGAGAGAAATGGGTGCAGGATTGTCTCCTGAAGTTTCCCAACCTGCCCAAATTGGGTAGAACAGTGATTCTCAACCTTTTTTTTTCAATATTACCCTCCCCCCCAAGGAGCCTTTGTAGACATCTTTGTCCTAATCACTCCAGGAAATTTTAATACCACAGACATACTGTGTGTCTCTTCGTGCTTTGTGGCTCTTTGAAGGCCACAAGCCCTTATAGTATCTAAGATATTTTTGCCCCTACCCTCCCAGAATCAGTTTTTGCCCTCTTAGGGGGGCAACATTGCCCCTGCTGAATTACATCGGTTAGAGGACAGAATGGTAAGGGAAGGAGTAGCCACTAAGAAAGGAGGAAAGCCAGAAGAGGGTGATTCAGTGAAGCCAAGAAGAGAAGGGCGCTAGGAGAGAGGATGAGAGAGT